TGGTGTTGGTCTACGACTGTGCCGCCGGCGAATGGAGCCGTGTGGCCGATTTACCGGAGGTCATTCGCCGAGCCGCCTGCGTCTGTGTTGAGTGCTAACTTGCGCCGTGTGATCTTGTATCAATAGAAGAAAGTACTTGTAATTCATAACATTGATAACATATCTCTGCATTCTTTCTTCCCCATTGGTAAAAGAAGAAACTTTTGGTAATCACTAACTTCGGTAAGTTGATCCTACATGTTATTTTCAAATATTGGTTAAAAGTTGCTTATAAAGATTTTACTAATAGATATAATTTGTTGTTTATGTTTAGGTCAATTTATGATGTTTGCTGAGAAAATGGGGCTTTTTATCTAGTACTTAATTGTTTAGTAGTTTGGAGCAACTTATATGCACAGATTATAACAAATTGATTGTAATTTAGAGAGTGTTAATTGTTCAATATTATACTTGTACTAGTATCTATGAACGTTGCACGTTAATAATGACACGTGATGATTTAAATATTTTTTATATAAAGGAGCAACAAAATTTATGAGAGAAATTTTATGTATAATAATACAAAAATCATCTAAATGCCGAAAAATATTATCACATTAGCATAATACATGAATTCAAAATAAAAGGATATCATCAAAACTTATACAAATAATCAATTTTGTCATGTTAGTTGGATACTTATGTATTATAGTTTAAAAGTATTTAGTGTAATGGTATCTTACCGAACACTTCTTTGTAGACGATGTTTTCTTGTGTGTATGTTTCCTCCTAATACTTTGGTTGTTGTGCCTTAACCATAACTCTTGTTGTCGATCTTGATATCTCTCTTGAGAGTGCAACATATAATTGTTCGTGCAAGAAAACATATGAAAATTATTTTCACACAAATTTAAAAAGATATTCCTTAGTTTCGGAAGACGAAAGTTGACTTCAGGAATAAGAATATACTTAGAAGCAAATAGACCAGTATCATAATTTTTGTTGTATGACATTATTGTTAAGACTTCTATATACCATATGTGTGTTATTACTTAACTTATTCGGCGTATCTAAATTTTTCAGTAGCATGACAGGCAAATTTTTCTTCAAAATCAACTTATATACAATGGAAGATCATTTTTAACTTAGTCTATCATATATGCGGTGACAATAACATACGTAAATAAGAAACTTGACAACAAACATATATGGTAGAAGACCATTTGGTATTTAAGTATTTAAGTATTCTTCTTGGTAGTAATTATTGGTATCATTTTTTGCTGAGGCCAAAATTGAAAGATATTTTATTTTACTATAAAATTTTGCAGTCAATCTTTTATTTATTTGATCAACATATTCATTTCTGCTAACTAAGATTAATTTTTAATTTCTATCATGCAATGTACAAATTGTGTTTTAATCTAATGATAGAAATATTTACCCTATTAAATGCATTACTATTATTATTAGGGTTGATAACCAAGTGTTTTGGAATAACTAAATCATCTTTTATTGGACACTCTTTTTCGTCTCCGATACGAAACAAGAAGCCACTGAATATTGGATATGTTCTTACGTTATGTTTCTTGTCAATTGAATCTTTTTTATTGAGGCCAAAAGTATAACTTTGGCAAGCTAGCTTTTATAGTCTCTGCTTTTAACGATTTTGAAACTACTGGTAGTACTTGGCAGAAATCACCTTCCAAACCATTAATTTTCCACCAAACAGTTCATTAATATCCAATATATCTCTAAAACTCTGGGTAATTGTTTTGATCATTTGACACTTAGCTATAAGTGCGCAATCACATACTATCAATTTTGCTTTCCTTATAAATTTAGTATCATTGCTCTGATTGGATATATTTGTGATGGTTATTTCAGTTGTTTGAAGAGGTATATCAAATCTAAAATAGGTGGTCTCATAATAAAATCGTTGTTGGTACACCATTTGTTATTATTGCTAACAGTATTATGTCTCTTGATATGATATTTGCAAGTAATGCATGACATAGAAATATTATTTCAATCCCGCTGGAGGCATCTAAAAAGAATAATCCCGCTATACCAGAGTCGACTCTTCATAATATAGTCTTGAAAGCTTGTTCTTGTTCAAGATCTAGCTTTGATTGTGCTTCCTCAAACACTTGTATAGCATTTTGATTCTTAATAATATACTAACCTTTTTAGTTTGTATTTTAGTTTTTTTAATCTCTAACACTTTTTTATGGAATAAATTTATGTACCCTAAGATTATTTTTAACTTGAAAAATAATTACTCATAAGATGAATTTAAAAAATAATTGAATTGGATTCTCTTGCTAAATAAGTAATTTAAAGATTTAATTATTTGGTTTTAGCTTAAAAAATAATCTATTTTATGTTGATTCAGATCTTAATATTAATTCATCTCTTGTTTTGAATATTTAATCTTAATTTTAATTTTATCCACCATGAATTTTAGTTTACAAGAGTAAAAAATTGATCTCACATTTCATTTTTAGATATTTATGTTTGTAAAATCATTAGTGGTATTGACTCTTACTAATCATTTTTCTTTCTTTGCCTCACACATTTATATTCTTAAATCATTTCTTAGTTGTTGTTTAATAATTGGATATTTTTCAATATTTATAGGAGAATAATTCAAATACAATATAAAATATATTATCATGAGGATATTGTTTTTTCTCAATTTCAACACTTTATGCAGCCCATTTGATATTACTTTTATTTTTCTTGGTATTGGACATTATGGAGTGGTTATGTATTTCCAATACGGAGGATTCTTATGAAATTAATTTTATCAAAACCTTTCTACATATTTAATCTATATCTATATCTATTTATCTATTTACACATGAATACAATGTCGGTTTACAAAAATAACCTTATAACATTAAACATAATAACCACAATAAAAGGACATAATCGATAGTTAATTTCTCCATACGTATGCCAGTTTACAAAAATAACTTTATAACATTAAGCATAATAACTCACAATAAAAGGATATAACCGGTAGTTTCTCCGTAAAATGATCTCTTTTTAGGTTTTATCTGGATAAGAGTCTGTGTGAATAAATCTAATATAGATTTCTTAGATGATGCTGAAATTTATAGTGGAGCGTATTACACAGATTGAAATACACTGTCCTAAGAAAAAATGAAGGGTGGTTTGTCATATGAGAGTCAAATTTTCCAATATACCACGGCTAACTAACTTGCCTCATTTTTTATTTTTATTTTTCCGCCTCATTAAGAACTATGTCATATATATACGATTGAAGGAAAGTAAATATCTTTCGGTTTTTGGAGCTTAAACAGATTTTAGGTGCCATCATTCTAGTATATTCATCCATATTAAAGTTAGCGTACTTTGGTTGTTGGAATGACCTTTGTGATATTAATTATATTCTTTATCAGGAAGATAAACTCAGTTTCAGGAATCATGTAGGATTCATAATGTGTAGTATTATGTCCTAAAACTAATAGGATTATAAGGCTAATATCTAAATTTTCGGTTATGTCCTTTTATTATGAGTTATTATGTTTAATGTTATAAGGTTATTTTTGTAAACCGACATTGTATTCATGCTTTTATAATAATATAAATTGACCTCTAAAATGATTACAAGTCGCCATTAGAGAAACTATAACTTAGAGCAAAAATTTCAGCCTTACCCAACCTCTGTGTGTCAGCCGAGCATCATTTACTTTCCGTGTTTTGATTTAGAGGGTATTTGCATTGGTTTAAAAGCGTGAAAATAGAGAATGGGTTAGCTGGTTGTTTTTGAAGAATTGACCCAAATAGCTGCTCACTTAATATTTTAAATTAAAAATAGTCGGCAGATGTATAACTGTTAACAACCATGAGAATGGTGATCAAAGCTAATGTAAAGAAGATCTAGAAGGAGAAGATGAGAGAAGAAGAGAACCAACTCACTTCATTTCCAAAAACTAAGTTATGTACAACCTACAACAGTATTTAACAGACTAACTAACATTAACTCTAATCGACTTTCACTAACTCTAGTTAATATTACACTTAAATTTAATTATAGTTAGCTATCAGCTAGTCACTTAGCTGCTAGCCAACACTCCCCCTCAAGCTGATGATTCAAATAAGTTCTTCAATCCCATTTTGTTCGGCAAGTATTCGTGTTGAGCTTTTCCCAGACCCTTTGTGAGTAAGTCTGCTAGTTGATCTTCTATATTCACATACTCAGTTTTCAGCAGTCCCTAACTTTGCCTTTCCCTCACAAAATCTCAATCTATGTCAATATGTTTTGTTCTCTCATGAAATAAAGGATTGACAGCTATTTGGATTGCTGTTTTGCTATCACATATTAGAGTAATAGACAGCTCAATCTTGACACCTAGTTCACTGTACAGACTTGTTAACCATGTAACTTCTGCTGCACATGATGCCATACTTCTAAATTCTGCTTCTGTTGAACTTCTAGAAATAGTACTTTGCTTCTTAGACTTCCGGGATATTAATGCATTGCCAAACTTAACTAAGTACCCTGTAACTGATCTCCTTGTTTGTATGCATGCCCCCCAGTCTGAGTCACAATAAGCAATCAACTTACTCGATGATTCTGCAGGCATCATCAATCCCAAAGCTGGTGCCTCATTTATATACTGGACCACTCTTAGTGATGTTTCCTTGTGGGAATTCTTAGGATAATGCATGAACTGACTAAGGACCTGAATTACAAAAGCAATGTCTGGCTTGATCATAGTAACATACAACAATCTTCCTACCAATCTTTGGTAAACACCAAGATTCTTGAGAGCTTAATCCAAGTGAGCACTATTGGTATTGAAACAGTTGTCATATTCTGTGGGTGTTAACTTCTGGTTCATCTCTAATGGTGTTCCAGCTGGCTTTGCACCACTTAGACCTGACTAAAATATTAACTCTAGAGCATACTTCCTCTAACACATGATAATTCCTTGTTTAGAACTTGCAAACTCAATGCCTAGGAAAAAGTTCAGCTCTCCTAAATCCTTCATCTTGAACCTTTTCTTGAGGCCTATCCTAGTGTCACACAACAACTGTTGGTTGTTAAGTGATCAAAGGATCATCTACATACACCAATATGATTACTATGTCGCTCCTAGCTTTCTTTGTGAACAAGGAATAATCATAATGACTTTGCTGAAACCCCATATGAAGTAAAGCTTTAGTCAACTTCATATTCCATTATCTTGGGGTCTATTTAAGTCCATAAATGGACTTATGGAGTTTGCAGACTTTCTTGTGAGTATCCCCCTGTCTAGCAAACCCCTCAGGTATATGCATATAAACCTCTTCAATGAGATCTCCATTAAGGAAAGCATTATTAACATCCATCTGAAAGATCAACCACTGTTTAGAAGCAGCCAATGTAATAATAGATCTGATAGTAACTATCTTAGCCACAGGAGAAAAAGTTTTACCATAATCCAAACCTTCCTTTTGACTATACCCTTTAGCAACCAATCGAGCTTTGAACTTTTCTACCTTTCCAGATGCTTTATACTTAATTTTGTAAACCCACCTATAGCCAATAGGTGTCTTTCCAGGTGGAAGATCTATAATGCTCCAGGTATGATTGTCCTCCAGTGCATCAATCTCCAACTGCATAGCTTTCACCCATCTAGGATCAGTAGCAGCCTCTTTAAAAGTAGTTGGTTGTGTCAGAGCTGAGTATGCTGTGAGAGCTTGTCTGAAAGTTGGAGAGATGTGAGAGTAGCTTATATAAGAGGAAATGTGATAAGTACATTTTGAGCCTTTGGAGATGGTGACATAATCTTGAAGCCATGCAGGTGACTTGCTTGGTCTGGAAGATCCCCTGCATTCTTCAAGAGGCTCAGCAGGATATGATTGAATTGCACATGTTTCAGCATAAGCATCATCCTGATAATCACTCATAGTGGGAATGATAGGTTCAGAAACAGTTGTGTCTGTAGGGAAGGAAGGAATTTATGCAGAGGACTCTGATGATATGTGACCTGCAACAGGCTCAGTTGAGTCTTCTATTGTAGGTGTTGAAGATGAGATATGAGTTGCAACATTCAACTCAGGAGATAACAGATCCAGGACAGGGAAAACCAAGTTCCTGAATCTCTAACATATTTGAAAGGAAACACAGTTTCATGGAACACAACATTTCTATTGACCATAAAGGTTATGGAATGCAAGTTATACAGTATATACCCCTTTTGAGTAGAGGAGTAACCTAAGAGCACAACATGCACTACTCTAGGTGAAAAGTTGTCCAAGACTTTAGGAGTTGTTGCATAACACAAACAACCAAATACTTCGAGACGAGGTAAAGAAGGTGGATACAAATACAACTTCTCAAAAGGTGATCTGTATCCAATTACCTTAGAAGGTAATCTATTGAGTAAATACACCGCTGTAGTAACACATTTCCCCCCAAAATCTTAGAGGCACAACTGCTTGAAATCTGAGGGATCTAGCCATTTCCAAAATAGTTCTATGTTTTTTTTCTGCCACTCCATTCTGCTGGGGTGTGTAAACACATATACTCTTATGGACAATACCAAGACTAGACAATAACTACCTGAACTCAATACTAAAAAATTCACTTCCATTATCAGTCCTTAGAATTTTAACAGTAGTAGAGAACACATTATTTGCTTGAGTAAGAAAATCTCTTAGAATTATAGTTGCTTCTGACTTAGAATTTAAGAGGAAAATCCAAGTAAATCTGTTGTAATCATCAAATATGGTGACAAAGTACCTTTTACCATCATGTGTAGGTACTCTATATCGTTCCCAAATATCACAGTGGACTAATTAAAAAAAGAGACGTTGTTATAGTATTACTCAGCTGAAAAGGCATCTTGGTTTGTTTAGCAACAGGACCTCCAGTGCATGACTGATTAGAGTGACCTGTTGTCAGCTTACTCAGTGTCTCTATCTTCTTTATTATGTCTATAGCAGCATATCCTAATCTCTTATGCCGTAACTGCAAATGCTAGAAACAAACACACTAGAAGAAGTACTGAAAATAGAAGAAAAAGTGGAAGCATCATTTGCTGTGTTGACACACTTATTTGTTGCCTGAGATGAGGCTGATATAGAAGTATTCCCACACAGTATGTACAATCTATGTTTCTTTTTACCAATCCCCTTCACCTGACCACTGAAGAGGTCTTGAAAAATACAGAAGTCAAGGAAGAAGCCAACCATACATCTTAGTTCCTTAGTGAGTTTTGAAACTGAGAGCAGGTTGAACTTAACGTCAGGAATGTAGAGAATATCAGAGATTTCCTGATTACTTAATACAGAAGTATCTTCTGTGTGTGATACTGACACCACACTTCCAGTAGGTAAGTGTACCTTATTTTCTTATGTGTTTGGAAGTGCCCTATGATTGTGCAACATGTCTTGGCTTGAAGTCATATGATTTGATGGTCAGTTTCAACAACCCACTTGTTATTAACACAATGAGACATAAAAGCAATCACTTTTCTAAGAATACCCGCAACAACTAGTTTGCTTGATGAGTCTGATCCTTCTATGCTTCCTTTGGACAACAAATGAACAATCTGCTGATACTGTTCAGGAGTAAATACAAGAGCACGATGCGACATTTGCTGGAAGAAAGTAGGTTGATTAGTTGGTTTTGGAACACCTGAATTAGTGTGGCTTCCTCCTCTGCCTTGTTGAGTCACACTAGAAGCTACATTGCTCCCCATAATATATTTGTCTGTACAATTCACCTCTGCTCCACACACTTGATTTGCATACTGTCCCGTGTTGATTCCTTTCTTCTTGGATTTGAAATCCGGAGGATATCCAACTAGCTTATAGCAAATTTCCTTTGTATGTCCCTTGTAGTGGCAATATTCACACTGAACTTGACTCCTCTTTGGTTTGTAGTTTTCATTATTATTTGTGTTCTTGCTACTATACATAGCTACATTCTCCCAGGCTTCAGAAACTTGAGCTATTTGAGTCATATTTGCAAGGTTTCTTTGGCTTTCCTGATCAACTAACATAGAATAGGCCTTATTTATACTAGACAAAGGAGACATCATCATGATTTGGCTCCTTGACTAAGAATAGAATTCATTTAAGCCAGTAAGAAACTGAAGAAGCCTTTGATATTCAAAGTGTTGAGCATACTCCTTTGACTCAGGACAGGGACAACTAGGACATGGCATAAGAACATCAAACTCATCCCAAAACTCTCTTAGTTTGGAGAAATAGTTAGTTACAGTCATAACTCCTTGAGTCAAAGTATGAACGTCCATATGTAGGTACAGAATTCTGGAACCATTTATTTGATCAAATCTCTCTTTTAAGTCTTCCCAAACTTTATGAGCACTACACTACTTAGCAAACCCGGCCTTTGAAAAGTAATTGAAAATCATACTATTTTATACGGAGATAAAATCTGGACAAAAGTACCCTAACTGAAATACGGATAATTCCAGCATAATATGTTGAATTATGAAACTCATGCGTCTAAAATTCCAGCATATTATGTTGGAACTCCAGTACATTATAAAATTCAAGCACATTATGCTGGAATTTCATATGTAAAAAAAATTTGAACTCCAGCATATTATGCTAAAAATTTTCCGGATTTTAAGCGCCTTTTTGTTTATATTTTATTTTCACATAAAAATAAAATAAAATTTCGATTGCTTTTGAAACTGTGGCTATTTTTCAACTATTAATTCTAAATCTGGCTCTTGATGATTTACCCCTTTAAAAACTGGTTAAAATAGCTTTAAAAAATGCTTTTAACTAGAAGTTTGTTTTTTGATTATATTTTTATTGGTTGTGAGGTTTTGACGAAAAAATGCAATTGTTTACCTACATGTTTCTGACTTCATAGCAAATTGTTTCCGCATAATTTTTGTTATAACTTATTAACGTTGATGCTTCTTTAATTAAATTAATTCGAGGTATAATATGTTATACTGGTGTTTAATTTGTAGATATGATACATATATACACAGATCTGATCAAAGGGAAAAAAAACCTCTCGTAAATCAATATTGTTTTATCTATAAATTTAAAACTCAAAATATATTGAAATATAACTTAGCCCCATTTGGCCATGCAAAATCTGAAAAAAACCTCTCGTAAATCAATATTGTTTTATCTATAAATTTAGAATTCGAAATATAACTTAGCCCCATTTGGCCATGCAAAATCTTTACTTTTTTTTTTTTCCCAAAATGTTTTTTGAAAACTTGTTTGCCCTTAAAAAAAATTTCAATTATTTTGAAAAACCAAAATTTTCAAGTTTTCTCAAAAATCAATTTTCTCCGCTCACAAAATATCAATTTGTTGTTAAAGTAAAATTCTTGTCGAAAAACAACTTTAACTTTCAAATATAATTTTTCAACTCAATTTTAAAAACTCCTTTTGAAATTTTTTGTTGGTATCTATGGCCAAACGCCTACTTAATTTAGAACTAAAATCTTATGATAATTATTTTATTTTTCGTGTTAATGACTTTAAGGGTATTTTAATTATTTTATCAGTTCATGACACTTATAATAGCATAATACGACAAGCAAATAAGATTAGCTTGCACGACTTAATATCACAATCAAAACAAAACATATACTACTATTTATTATTCAAGATAGTTGATTTATTTATTGTTTATTTCTTCACGTCACAAGCATATTATGCTGAAATATTCATCAAACAATTCTATCAAGCATAAAAGCATATTAATATAGGTCTAATCTAACCGTAAAATTGTAAAATCTAAACCATAATTCTTAATTCCATATATCCGAAACAAACCAAAAATTCGAAACAGCAACATTTTTTCTTTGTGGTAAGAAAATGAAAAAATTCGCCTACTTCATCCATCCCTTTTATTATGTTAAAATGACCAAAAACTCCTTAAACCTCAACGCCATCGCCCCTCTGAAGTGAAAACCCCCACCACCTGAAAAAGCTCTTGATAGCCATGGATTTTCAAGTGGTAGTATTAGCAGGTGGCTTATCAAAAAGCCTTGTTCCTCTTGTTTCCAAGGTTCCCTCCTTTTTCCTTTTTTCTCTTTAAGCCCTTTCCCATTTTTTCCCTATTACTTTTATGAAGTTATTTTCCAATAAAATTTGCAGGAGGTGCCCAAAGCGCTGCTTCCGGTGGCAAACCGGCCGGTTCTATCTTACGTGCTGGAGCATTTTGAGCAAAACAATCTCAAGGATTTTATAGTTGTGAGTTAGTTGTGTTTTGAGCACTGTTTTCTCTTTATTGTGTTAATTATGGAAATTAGGGTTATTTAATTGAATAGTGTGGTTGATTGTGCTGTTTTTCTCAGGTTGTTGAAGGGGAAAGTGCAGCTCTTCTTGTTGGGGGTTGGATTTCAAATGCTTATGTTGATCGCCTTCATGTTGAGGTAATTCTTGGATCACTTTATGTGGCAGTGTTTGAGTGGACATGGAATTTAAGAAAGAAAAAATAACTTTTGAATCTTGTGGTCTAAAACAAGCCATAGATATTTATAGGGTTATAAATCATCTCAGCAACGGTAAAATGAGAAGTTTGAATTGTTTCTAAATATAAAAAGGTGCATTCTTTTTGGGACAGACTAAAAAGGAGAGTGTGTCACATAAGCGAGGTGGTATTGTGAAGAAAACTATGAGGGTTATAAGTGCATGTTATAGTACATTGTTTCAAGTGAAATTTGGCAATATTGATATTGCAGACATGATAAGTGATTCCCCTATAAATTTTTTGTACTAATGTATGTAACTAATAGAGAAATAGTAATAAGATTGTTAGAATAGTGTGGATACTTTTTGTTTGATGATTCAATTTTGTTTTGGCATATAGCTCAAAGCTTATTAGTAGGTTCTTCAGTCTCCTCTCGTCAGAAACATCAGTTTCTCCAGCTTTTTAAGGCTTGACAACTGATGAAACAAACCTGATAAATAAGAAATGTTTCCGCCCCTAGTTTCAGTCTTTCATTGTGCTTCTTTCTTGTAATTTACATAAATTACGAATAGGACAACATGGATCATTCATGAAAAATTAATAATGATTCTAGATGAAATTTTTGTGTCATTTTTGATGAGATACATACATGGATGAGGCTGCCCATCTGCTTTATGTGTTTTTTTTTCTTTCTAATCATAGTCTCATCGTGCATTAAGTGAGATTTTAAGAATTCTTCATTTACTTCAAAACTTATTGTATTGAAATGAAATGGGCTTGAGTAGAGCGCAACATATATAGAAGATTTGTATAGCTGACTCAAATTAATTTGTGATTGTGGCAAGTTGATGGATTAATTGATATATAGTCGTACTCTGCACTGCGCATCAAATCGCGAAGGGAACACTGTGAAGCACGTAACCTAAGGATTATATTGGAAAGAGATATTTTATAATTTGTGGATGGAAAGAAGGGACAAATACAACAATTTTTAATTGGAAAAGGGTAGAGGGGCAGACTCATTATCCGCCGAGTTTCAAACCGTGTGCCAATTGCCCCTTGGGATTTTTTTGTTATAAAAAAGAAGACAAATATGAAGAGACGAGGAAACAAAGTTCTTTGATCATCTTGTGCAACCAAGGATGTGACCTATTGATCAATGAAGCGGGAGGAGAACCATGAGATCTCAGGTTTAAATACCAGCGGAGGTTAAAAACATTAGGTGATTTTTTCCCATCCTAAGCTTTGATGGCAGAGTTACCCATACTTGTATTGGTCCGAGGTAGTAGATACCCAGTGAAGCGTGCAAGGTGGTCCTGACACAACCATCATGAGGAAAAAGGTTTTTGAGCATCTTCAAGCTTAACAACAGAGAGAAGGGCTTTGGTAACTGCGAAATTTCATGCTTCTAGTGGAATCCAGTTGCTTTGCAAGTCTGCCAACTGCACTCCCCAGATGCAGCCTTACTATTTTTGATAGGTTATGCAGCAAACTAGCTTTGCGCATATCAGTTTTGTTTATTGTTGTACATAAACAAATTACAAGTCTTGATTTGGCAAGGCGCTGATCATAATCCAAATAGAGATGGGCTAGAATGATTCTCCATTGACAATCTGCACACCTCAATTTCCCAACTCAACTCCCAAATCGAGTCCCATCTTTGAATTCCTGTTCAATCCCAAACCTTATATGATTGGTCTTTAAGAAAATACTAATGAATAAGAAGAGAAGAGAGGAGGGGGCAGGGGACGAGTGAGGAAGACGTGGTGAATTTGCAGAGAAAAATGAATTGTTTAACAGTGCGGGAATATGGTTAAAGGGGCAAATAAAATGGGAGTTGGGCCATTTTGTGCTACACTTAAGGCCGAATGGCCAAGCAGTGCCAAATTATTATTGTTATTGTTTTTGTTATGAACTTGCTCTTTATTAACGTTAATGCTCCTCAACAATTGGACTCAAAATAAATTTATTTAATGCTCCCTGTTGACTGACTGTTTTGAGCAGGATGAATCTAGTAGTTTTACATTAAAAAGTTCACTTGATAAATCTTGTGCTCGTCCTAATACTTATTTGGCCCTTGTTAACTTAGTATGGTTGTTGCTATAAAGGGCTTATTTTTTTTGTTACTTTGTCTTCAGGTTGCAGCAGTCCCTGAGGATATCGGGACAGCTGGAGCTCTTAGGGCCATTGATCACCACCTGACTGCAAAAGATATTTTGGTTGATGTTCTAATCCGAATTGCTTTCCAACAGGGTCGCATGCTTCAATGAGCTAATTTGTTTGATTCTTATGCAGGTTGTGAGTGGTGATCTTGTTTCTGATATTCCTCCTGGGGCAGTGGCAGCTGCTCATAGACGACAGGATGCTGCAGTGACTGCTATGCTTTGTTCTACTCCTGTCAGTGGCCCATCAGAGTCAGGTTCCTCTGGCGGAAAGGACAAAGCCAAGAAACCGGCACGCCATAACATTATAGGACTGGACCCCACTAAACAATTTCTGTTGCATATAGCTGCTGGTGAGACCCCTGCATATGCTTTTACATCCTTCATGCATCAATTGGTTTTATTCCCTTACGAGGCATCTTTGATATCCTCTAGGAGGTGAAGTTGAGAAAGATATTCGTGTCCAGAAGAGCATTCTCCGAGCGGTAGGCCAGGTAAATGATGCCAATCAGTACGAACTTCATAGCTAATGAAATCACTAAGATGGGAGTTTTTTCTGATATGTTTCTCTTCTACTCATATGCACCTTTCCTCTTGTCTGATTCCTGTTACTTTTTTTCTGATATGTTTCTTTTCTACTCATGCATCTTTCCTCTTGTCTGATTCCTGTTACTTGAGAAATTAATGGGAAAAGAGAGGGGAAATAAGTGAAGAACTGGTAGATTTGCTTGAAGATGTAGTATTCTTCTTCTCCTCCTCCCAATCTATGATTCAGTTTGGCTATGGCTTGCAATTATTTTGGATTGTTTCCTTCTTCATATGATCTCTCTTTTATTTCTTCTATATCCAATGCATGAGTTTTTATGTTTTTCATGATCACATGTATATATTATTTTTTTTTGGGTAAATAAAAGAAATTTTATTACCAATGACATTCTGTACATTTACAAACACAAAAAACTGCATACCGTTCCATCCAAAATGCAGAAAACAGCTACTCAACTAAAACATCAAAGAACTCCACAAACAACTATTCTCTGATGCAATACTATCGAGGATAGAAATTAATTTGTCTAAGTACTGCAGTCAGCCTACTCTTCATTGGTGCTCTATAAAACACTTCTTGAATAATCTTCCTGATAATGATCTCTGGTTCAGTTTGCTTCCCCTGAAAATCTCTTTGGTTCCTCTCTATCCAAATATGATAAACACAGACTGCCATGTATATGTATTATTGAATTTTGCTTATTAACCAATGTGAGATACTGGATATGCTGCTCTCTGCAAGAACCATTCTGTTGTTTCCCNGGTGCTCTATAAACACTTCTTGAATAATCTTCCTGATAATGATCTCTGGTTCAGTTTGCTTCCCCCGAAAAACTCTTTGGTTCCTCTCTATCCAAATACGATAAACACAGACTGCCTTGTATATGTATTATTGAATTTTGCTTATTAACCAACGTGAGATACTGGACTTACTGCTCTCTGCAAGAACCTTTTCTGTTGTTTCTTTTTGCCTTTTTTCTCTTTTCACATGAAAATATGATATTAGACCATTAGAAACGAAGTGCATGCGTGCAGATACATCCAAATATACAAGCTTCTCCGTAATTTTCGGTGGAGTTTTCCTTCTACATCTTATCCTTTTTCTTTAATCTGCAGATGGAGATTCGTGCTGATCTAATGGATGCTCATATGTATGCCTTCAAGAGGTTCGAGGTGTTTCTATCTGATTTCAAGTAGTTTTGGTTGATGTTGTTTATCCATTATGCTTGGATATTCTCTAAGATGGTTTTTTTTGGGTATGTTCGAAAATGGTTATCTTTTCCATGTTTTCTCCTGTAGAACTGTTCTGCAAGAGGTTCTGAATAAGAAAGAAACTTTTCTGAGCTTGAGGCGCGACGTGTTGCCTTATCTTGTGAGGAGTCAGCTAGTAAGTCTTATAACGCATGATTTTTTTCTGTCACATGTTAACTTTGTTTACTTCCCATCTAAGATTCTCCATGAGTTGATGATGTTGAATTATATTAGAGATCTGAATTATCACAAAATGGAGTGCTAGCAGAAGAAAATGGGCATCATAAGGATTTTTCTGAGAGTAGTACAGTTATGCTGTCACAACTACTGGCCAATGCATCTACACAAAGTTTTCATGAACTATACGCTTTGGGTCCTGATGGTTCTGCTCCGTCTCCAAGAAAGACTCACAAGTGCTGCGTATATATTGCCAGCAAGAGCAATTATTGTGTGCGCTTAAACTCCATTCAAGCCTTCAGTGACATAAATCGAGATGTGAGATTTACTGTTTAACCTTGTATTTTTGCTTATCTCTAAAGCAGATGTGTGCTTATCTGCTAATGAGCTAGTTTACTTTCTCTATGATTTAGGTCATAGGTGATGCAAGTCACCTGTCAGACTATTCTTTCTCTCCCCAGAACAACATAATTCATCCTACAGCCGTGCTTGGTTCCAAAACTACAGTGAGTTGCAACTTACAGTTATATATGCAGAATATTATGTTGTTGCACATGTTGTGTCATCTTTATTTATTTATTTATTTATTTTGTTAGTGCCGAAGAAAGAAGTTCATATTGCATCATACCTTTCCTTTTGGTTTTAATTTGTCTTGTTGGATCTTGGTTTGTTTTTATGGGAATATAAGAAATTTATATATGATTAACTTGCACCAAGTCAGTGCGACAAAAAACACAGTTACAAATTGTGCAAATTGTTGGATCTTGGTTCTCATGACTGAGGAATTAATCTCATTTAGGTTGGACCGCATTGTATGCTAGGAGAAGGTTCACAAATGGGTGACAAGTGTAGCGTGAAAAAGTCTGTCATTGGTCGGCATTGTCGGATCGGCTCAAATGTGAAGGTATGATTCATTCTTTACCTTTGATAAAAAGGAACACAGCTATTGTTTGCAACTTTCTGTCGCACAAGGATGCAACCTCAGGAAACGCACCTGCACATGTGTTGCCTAGCTCGTTATTAAGTCGCTTGTTTTTGCAGGTTGTCAACTCAGTCATTATGGACCATGTCACCATTGGAGATGGTTGTTCGATCCAAGGTTCTGTTATTTGCAGTAATGTACAGCTCCAAGAACGTGCTGTACTGAAAGATTGCCAGGTATCCTGCTTTTCCTATTTCACCTACTTCTATTTTCTAGAATAATACTACTAATGACTATTATTATTGTTGTTGATATTATTGAAAATTTGTGGGTGCATGCGAGCTTTAGGGGTTAGGGAGTTGGTTACTGTTTGTTTCTTTGTATTTGTTTTCAGGTTTTCCTATTACTTCATTTTGCACGTCTGACACAGGTTGGAGCAGGTTATGTGGTCTCAGCAGGCAGTGAACATAAAGGAGAATCCTTGGCGAAGAAAGAGAAACAGTAATTAGTTATATTGGTTACTTACAGTGTGATCAACGCGACATTGACTTCTGTAGGATTTTTGTTGCTTTGGCCTGCCAATGATATGCTCGTCCAATGAACTCCATGTTACCAATAGAGCAAAGTCAATTTTGTTTGGCCTTCTTGTTTTGACTGAAGATTGTTTCCATATTGAGTTTTGTTGTTAGGGTGAATCTGTTGTAGAGTTTACGTATTTGATAATCAAACAGCAGAACTCGACATGCTCCATTCAGCAACCTCGAAATTGCTATTTTCCTTGATTGATAAGTTAACATGCTTTATTTTGAGTACTGTATGGATATTTCATACAAAAATTAGATACGGCGAATCGCCTTGACCAATTCTGGAAGGGTTAAAATGAGCTGATTTAGTAATTGGACTATGATCCAATTTGCCCCAAGTTTGTTTTCGCCAAAATGGGTCGATTTAAGATGAGATAAACAGTGGTCATACGCCAACTTTCTATTATTTACCTCTCTTTAATATAGCATTAACCCGACTAGTTAACATTTGGGTGGGTTGCCGGGTCATATTTTATGAGTCAAATCACACCCCTAAAGAATGGGACATTCAGACCACAACAGCCAACACCAAAACAGTGAATCTTGCATCAGGACCAAACATTTTCTACTTAGATTTAAGCTGTCTGCATTTCTAGTGTGACTAACTTCTTAGTGAATTGTGATTGTATATGGTTGGTTGTTCGATTTCTACTCAGTATAATTTTTTTTTGTATGTCAATACAATTTCTTAACCGGTCCTGATTTTCCAACGATATATTATTTGTGGAGATGTACAAACTGTTTCAATGGGTGAACAGGGCATGAGTCTTTCCCCTACAGTTTGGCTTGTACGTTGTTGACTCAGGTTTTAGAATAATATCAAACTTTAAGAACTTGACTTGGTTAGAATGCTTGCTACACAGAATTTAGGATGCCCTGTCAACATGTTTTTCTCATTTGTAATTAGCTAATTTTTGCTTTAAAGGCTCAGGAAATTGGCTAGCGTCGATATATGAATATTTGAATGACATTTGCATATGCAAAGAGAAAATATCTATAAAGCTTGTCTTATTAATCTTTATTTGATTCATAAATTTAGGAATCTGTTATGAAATAAAAGCAATTTAGTAAAACATGAACAAGAAATAAAGATAATTTAGTAAAACATGAACAAGAAATAGAGATAGAGAGAAAGGAAGAGATTTTCTTCTTAAATTGTGTGTATTTTCTTATCTATTACAAAACCTTTATATAGACATGAAAAGTGAAGAAAATATGTCATGAAACATGTCATTGAACATAGAAAATATGTCATTGAATATGTCATTAACCATTTGAGAGAAGGATCATGGAGGAAGAGTAGACATCCACCATATTTTGATTTTTATCGTAACACTCCCCCTTGGATGTCCATAAATAATGTGTCTCGTTAAAACCTTATTAGGAAAAAACCCTATGGGAAAAAATCCTAATGAAGGAAAAAGAGTACACATATTTAGAAATACGCCTTTTGGTTGCCTCGTTAAAAACCTTGCGAGGAAAACCCAATGGGACAAAACCTTGTAAGGGAAAAAGAGTACAACGCGTATTAACTCCCCCTGATGAGATCATCAGTTCACATAGTTGAGCCTTCGTATCCCAATCTTGTACACTAGTTTCTTGAAGGTTGACGCCGGTAGATATTTGGTGAACAAATCAGCCATATTATCACTTGAACAGATCCGTTGCACATTAATATCACCATTCTTTTGAAGATCATGTGTGAACAATAATTTAGGTGAAATGTGCTTTGTCCTAACTCCTTTATGAATCCTCCCTTTAATTGGGCTATGCACGTTGTATTTTCTTCATGCAAAACTGTGGGTAGTTTATCACACTTCAAACCACATTTGTCTCGAATAAGATGTATAGTAGACCTCAACCATACACATTCTCGACTTGCTTCACGAATAGCAATTATCTCAACATGATTAGAAGAAGTACCCACGATTAATTGCTTAGTCGATCGCTAAGATATGACAGTGCCACAAATGTAAACACATAATATGTTTGAGATCAAGCCTTGTGTTTGTCAGATAAATACTCCACATCGACATAACCAACAAGATCGGTATTGCAATCATTGCCATAAAATAAGCCCACAT